CAATAGATAAATCTTTTAAAAATTATAATAATAAAATTATATTATTAACAAAAGGTCAGGGGGGAGACCGCTGGGTCTGAGGCCTATCCAGAACAAAAGTGTCTCTGAATCCGCTCCCCAGAGTGTCCTGCCTGGTTGCCAACCACCAGCAGAGAGAGGTGGGCAGGGCAGTCCTTTGCTCGCCACAGCCTAACATGGGGGCTGTAGATTCTAGGCTCGCTATACTCTATTACTACTATTTAAGCCACCACTGGTTAGAAAATGTACCACCAAAACTCAAGTCCATGGAAGATTCCTAAATTAGCGCTAACTAGCTCTCTGTGCCCCTAGGTCCTCCCAGTTATACAAGACGGTGACATATGGCAGATGTCACTGTGCTTGGCCTTTTCGTGAAAGACAACTGTAAAACAAGCAGGTGCTGATAATTACACAGGAACTCACAGGCCCAAACTCCTAGAGACACAGATGTGTGAAATGGGCATGTGCGTAAATCGCCCTTCCTGGAGGACAGAAGACACGAAGGAAGAGCCACGAAAATGCATCGCTTGGGACGAGGCTTCCTGGTGTACAGGGGGACATTCAACTTGGGAGACTCCGTGTTTGCTGCTGGTTACCTGTCTGTTTATGCCACCAGTAATCTACGCTCCCAAATTTGGAAAGATCAATTTCCAGTGACCAAGTAAACTGATGATTCTCCCCCTATCCACAAGGGTCCCCTCTGGGGTTTACGTGTAACCATTTCTTTCACGCTTTGGAGTGACCATCAGGCTTTATTTTCAAAGCACTTTATGAAGGTTGTTTCCTCTCCCCTCCCCCCATGGGTGAAATACACAGAAAACAAAATTGATTTACTTTTCACCATCTTTAAGGGTGCAGCACCACCCACCACCCACATCCCCCCACCTCCCACCCCAAGCTCTCGTCTTGTAACACTGACATTCCATATTCACAGCCACAGGGAGGCTGGGATGAGGTTTTCAACCAAAGGGAGGGAATTTTTTTAAATTACATGTAGTGAGACAAGCCAGAGCAATAAAAACAAATCCTGGACGCTCATATGGCAGCCAGTTTGACAACATAAAACATTTGTAAAGATGACTGGGCCACAACAAATATCCGGAGGTTAACCTCAATGACTCTGAGGTCACGAGCAGGCGAAGGGACAAGAGGACACAAGGGACCGTGGCGGGGGAAAGAAAAAACAATTAAAATTGGTATAATCCTTGGCCCTCCCTGGTGGCGCAGCGGGTTAAAGCACAGCACTAGGAAGCTGAAGCTACTTCTGCATGAGTTCGATCCCCGCCTGCCCCGGAGGTGACCACATGGCGCGGCAGACCTCTCCTGACCCACCCACTGCCCCCCTCAGCAGTGTCCTTCGTTGATCTGCCTGTTCTGCTCCCCACTCTGTCTCCGGTGAAGCCTCTCGCCGCCCCTGAGCCTCTGGCCTGTACCCCAGTTCTGTATGCACAAATAAATAAATCTTTAAAAAAAATCGGTATAATCCAAAAACCCTGCAAGCAAGCTAGATAGTACTCCATGCAGGAAGAAAAAGTGCTATTATTGTTGTTGTGTTGATATAAGAGCTCTCGATTTGTGCAAATAATAGCTCAAGATGATCTCAGATGCCCATAAAAGCATTGGGGCCCCTACTAGATCTGGAGAGAGAAAAATCCAGAGAAAGAGAGACAGGGGTCTGTCACCTCTGTTAACATTTTGTCCTGTTTTTATTTCCTCAGACTCAGGGACATTAAGTTGTAAATAAACTGATACCAACACTGTTTTAAACCAAAAAGCTCAAATAACCTTCCCACATTGTGGAGTGTCAGACACACACATTTGTTCAATGGCCAAAGAACCATAAAATCACTAGCTAGAAGCAACCTTACAGATTACCTAGTATACACCTCCAGCGCAAGACGCAGAAACCAAAGTAAAAATAAGAAGGGCCCTCCCTGCCGGCACAGCGGGTTAGGGCACAGCGCTGCAAGCGAGCTGCACCTGCCTCAGTGCGAGTTCGATCCCCGCCCGGAGGTGATCACGTGGCGCGGCAGCCCTCTCCTGTCTCCCCACTGCTCCCCTCAGCAGTGTACTTCGTCGATCTGCCTGTTCTGCTCCCCACTCTGTCTCTGGTGAAGCCTCTCGCTGCCCCTGCACCTCTGGCCTGTACCCCAGTTCTGTATGCATAAATAAATAAATCTTTTAAAAAAATAAGAAGGAAAAACTCTTTGTTTTTCCACAGCCCCTGCCTGTGCCTTTCTACCTTCTGTCTATGAAGGTGACAACTATGTGCCTGATCTAAGTGGACTCCTGCTGTATCTCTTAGTGACCGACTCACCCCACTTAGTGTAATATCTTGGAGATTTACCCACTTGATAGCATGTGCTGGAATTGTCTTTCTCTTAGACTAAACACAATTCCCAGCTTTGTGTTAAATCACACTGTGATCACCCAATCATCCACCAATGAACCTCGCAATTCCTCTTATGAACCATGCTGGTATGAACACGGATCGACACATGGAAAGCATTTAAAAGCCCTCCAAAGTGCCAGAGTAGTAACACTCAGATTGGCTACTGAGGGTGGAATGTAGGTGGGACAATATGTGCTTAGCTGTGCATCTCCTTTGAGGAACCACTGTTTCCAGCAAGGTCTTTAGGTCCAGGTGGACACACCTATCTAGAGAGAATGGTTTCTGTAAAATTGTTCAAGTGAGCAAGCTCTGTTGCAGTAATGCTCTCCTGCCCCTAACTGCTACCAATAAGTCCTCCTTTAGACTATTCCAAACAAGGGACTCTTTTAAGAAAGCTCTAGAAACAGAACATGATCTCTTCCCTTTGCTAAGATGCATTGGCAATGCTGTCCATTCTCGTCAGCGATGGTCTAATCCTCATCATAATGGCAAAACCCCAAAGCCCTCTTCCAAACCTTCGCTTGAAGGGGTTCCAGTCACCTTGCTTCAGAGGCCAGAAATCCTGGTGAGAATAGTGTAGAGAAGAATCTTGCCCCAAGTGTGAGACATCAAGTCAACAGAAGGCGGTGAATATTAGCAGAAAACACCAAGAGCCCATAGGTTGACTGAGCTTCCAGCTCATGTGTGTCTACACAAAGTGGTGAGGATAGTTGAGGGTCAGCAACGTGATAACAGGTGTATCCCACTTGCCCTTTGGGGCCACTATCACTGGCCATCACTTGACATAGAGGATGGTGATCAACACCCCAATGAATCAGATGAGAAACTGTCCCAGAAAGCACGGTTCAGAATGGCTCTTGCATTCCAAAAAGTGCCCCCCTGATTACTGTGTTTGCTCAAGGATTTGGGGTGGGGGAACGCACTGATTATATGAAAGAAGAGAGGCCCCCACTGGGGGGATGTTTCTTACCCATGGAGTGACTGGTTGGCACATTCGGGGAGCTGGTGCTCTGGCTCCCTTCTCGGTCAGGGGCTGTGGCCGCTGCAGTGGGCTTGTCCTCTAAGTGCACGTCTGTTATACCCTCTGTCCTCGTTGGCACCTATCAGAGATGCGATGAGGCAAAACAGAAATAAACATAATGTTTGAAATATACGTTCTGCTTTCAAAAGACAAGGATTTAAGGTAGCAATACTATGTAAAATAGATGACTACATGCAAAGTAGAAACAGAGAGCAAATCAAACGAATCAGAAGGGCTGCAGGAATAAAACCAAGTCTATTCCAGAAAAATGCCAAATATTTAATATGCTGAGTCCTACGGTCTTGATTCTTCAACAAATACTAGGTCACAAAGTTTTCATTTTTTCTCTCTCTTGAACTTGAATAGCGCTTTTCCCCTGAAACATTTCTTTGCCACCTACTATGCTGCATTAACCCTTGAATGCCTTTCCTTCCCAGCTACAGTAATGACCAGCCTTGACTGAGAGGTTATAATGTGCCAGACTCTTTAAATGCCTTCTCATTTACCCCACACCACCCTATGAAGTAAACGCTGTTATGAGTCCTATAGTGTGAACACACGTTAAGAGGGTAGATGATATGCCAAGTTCAACAACAAGCAACAGAACAAGATGTGAAGGAATTCTCCTGACTGCAAAGTGGATGCCAATTGCAGCATTCACCAGCAACGCCAGCATACAGAGTTAACAAAAGCAAAAACAGGTGAGTATGCGCACATGCAGGTGAAAACCTTTGTCCATCCCCAAACATAATCAACAGAGTGAAGAGGCAACCTGTGGAATGGGAGGAATAAAATGGCCAAACATACATCTCAGAAGGTGCCCCACAACTGAGTGACAAAATATCAAATTTGATTAAAAAATGGGCAAAGAGGAGTGGATTAGAAAAGCACAGTCTGTATATAGTAGAATACTATACAGCCATAGAAAAGGCAAATTATTGCCCTTTGTGTCAATATGGATAGAACTGGATGATGCTATGCAAAGTAAGTCAGAAGGAGAGAGACTTATGGTTTTACTTCTATGTGACATATAGAGACACAAAATAAAGGGTCCGACAGAACCAACCAGTAACAAGCACGAGGGCCTCCCTGAAGGCATAGGGGTTGAGTCTCAGAGCTATCACTACCGCAGCCTGAGTTTGAACCCCGGCCAGAGAGACAACCCACAGGGCCCAGCAGACTTCTCCTGTCTCCCCAGTTCTGTGCCACTAGCTCAATTATAAGCTCCCCACTCTGGATGGTGCAGCTTTATACCTCCTCAGGGTCTCCCAGTGCCTGGCATCCTGTGTTGCCCACCGGGTGCTTGAGTCACATGAACTCATTGAATTTACGATGTTAGGAAGTGTCTGCTGAGGCTGTCAGTCCAGACCAGCGTGATTGCTGGTGGGCTCTGGTCTTTGTTTATTACATGTCTACAGGAAGACAGGAAAGTGCAGAGACTTATTTAGGGACTCATACTAACAAAGGTGCTACAACTTCCAAGATTTTTAGTGTATGGGAAACTGGGCTATAACAGATCAGACACTTGAAAGCCTCCATCCCTGCTACTTTGCATATTCTTAAGTCTTCTGTGGTCAGCATGTAAGATGCATGCTAAGCAGGTGAAGTTCGAAGGTAGTTTCTGTTCCAAGTTATAGAATAATTTCTTTTGTGTGGTGGCTCATGCTAAATATATCTATAATATATATAAATATATATATACATATTTTTATATGTGTGTGTGTATATATATGTATATATATATATTTATAAAATTCTTATCCATCCATCCACTTACCATTCATGCATCCATCCTCCACACACCCACCCATCTATTTGCAGGACACAGAGCAAATCCCTCTCTTCCCGGGACACTCACCAGACCCGTAGCGCCAGTCGGCTCATACGTGTTTTCACCAGGCTCTGGAGTCAGGATGTTATCTTCCACACCTGGGGACACCAAGCCACCTTCTACACTCGGAGTTAAAATGTCATCCTCTGGCCGGACGGTAATGGCTGAAGAAGAAAGACTGAGTTACGGCTGAAGGTAGAAATCATGTGTGCAGAGCTAACCAGCCAGCTACACCCAGACCCCTTTCTTGTGGAGAAATTTGTTTGGGGTGCCATTTTTCTCTCTTATAATGAACCATCTTCCTTGGCCTCACCTCTGGTTTATACAATGATCTGTTTGTCTCCAGATTCTCTTGCTAAAAGAAGATGGAAATACCAGGGGCAAAGCAACCTGCCCCTCCCTGATACCCCGCTGAGGTGGGCTGACTGGCAGGTGCAGACCTTTCCTTTTACGCAATGAACCAGTCTTCCATGCGCCGCTTCATGTGATGAACCAACACATAAGGGTTAACAGAATATCACTTATGGCTGGCATTTCTAAAAATACACAGTTTGCAGTTGCCTCAGACCAACTGAATCACAAGATGCAAAAGTGAGGTTTCCATCTTTTGAAATCATGCTCATTCCTTTCAAGCCTGCTGCCCCCTTGAATGACTACAACTGTTGGTTTTGACCACAGCCCTTGTCGATGACATGGAGTTCTTGTTTCAAAGTTGGGGTTAACATTTCGGGGAGGGTCAGTCCCATTCGTTACAGTACCCAGAAACCCCGGAGAACTCTTTGTGCCAAGATAGCTATGCCAGTGAAAGAACACAGAGCCCTTGGCTTTTCTGCATCAACATTGGATGAATGACCCGTGTTGTGCCAAGAGAAAGATTTCCAGAGGAGCCGGGGGTGGGGGAGGGGGTGAGGGGAGTAACAGGTTGAGTTCCAAAACTGGGAGAAAGACGAACCTGGCCAAGTCCAAGCACCTTCTCAACTCTTAAAATGACCCTTTTTACAAGTTCAAAATCTGACTCACTGGCCACGGGCTCCTTCCCTTCACACAAGTGTGGCTCTGAAAATTCCATGACTAAATACAGTTGCAAAATAAGCAAACATCCCAGGAGCAAGAGGGAGGGGGCTTAAAGATGTGGTCTTTGTGTAATGAAAGAGCAGAGATTTGCACCTGGGCTGTGCCCAAGTGAGCAATACCACCCTTGCCTTAATGCACCTTGTTAGGAGAGCCCTGTGCTTAGACTACCCGGCTAAAGGAAGGGCTAGTAAACAGTTGATCATAACATCTTGGCCGATGTACAGAAGGATCGTGCCTCTAGCATAAATCTGCTTGTTCTATGATCTTTCTCTTTGCATTCAGGGTCCTAATCCAGTGCTGTGGATCACGGCTTAGCATCGGCAATTATTTTTCATCTTGAGGGACAAAAGCCTTTTACCAGTTAGTAATAACGGAATCCTGCAGTGCAGGCAAATGATTTGCGCCCCCCCATCTGCCACTCCACCTATTTGTGGGGGTCGGGTGGGTAGTGTTCATGTCCCACCAGGATTTATAACTGTGCTGTGGGCATTTGTTGCGTGTATTTACAGAGCTCAAGGGGTAACATACCTTTGCCAGGGAAGTTGTTCTTATTAAAACAAACAACTAAGCATATCCTGTTTGCTTTTTCCCTCTCTCCTAGATGAACACGGTTAACAAATCTCTGATGAAAAAAAAAAATTCTCTGGAATTGTACAGCAAAAGCACTTCCTTTCTTTATCTTCTAGCTTTAAAAAACAAAAGCACCCTTGCTTAAAAAAAATCAAGTCCTGAATGAAGCTGAATTCTTTCATAGAAAGTTCAGTTCATTGAAAGTATAACTTGATGAAAATTCCTCCTTGTTCTTTTCTACGCTTGGCCCACAGGGCTGAGTCTCTCCAAATAGCTCTGAATAGACAAAGGGTGTTTTATGAATGACACTCGTGATTAAGATGCACATCTTTTGTCTCGCTGCCTTGCTTTCTTTTGCTCCATGGGAAAGTGGATCTTTAACAAGAGATCCTCCATTGTCTCTCGGATTATTTTGGCCGAAGGCTTTCCCAGGGCGAAGACTGCCCAGGAGCCCAGCTGCCCAGTTTCTAGCCAGCATCTGACGTCTTCCTCTTTGAACAGGGAAATTCCAATCATGTGCTGATCCTTCATTCCCTGACCCCTCTTCCCTAAGGCACGTGCATGTGCGTATGTACACACCTATTATGTGAATGCTACAGTAAGTGGTTCCTGGGAACGCTTTACCCTGCCACACCAGCCTGACCTAGCTAGTGGGGTCAGGAGCCACGGAAGTTTCCAAATAAATAGGTACCCTGGCCATTTACTTTGGAATTTGTATGTGTGTGTTATTCTTTAAAAAGCTAGCCAGGGCCCTCCTTAAGTGGCACAGCAGGTTCAAGTGCAGCTCTGCAAACGAGCTGCTTCATTGTGAGTTTGATCTCCAAGCTGGAGGAAGTGATCCAAATCACCAGCAGACCTCTCCTGTCTCGCCCGCTGCTCCCCTCAGCAGTGTACTTCATCGATCTGCCTGTTCTGCTCCCCACTCTGTCTCTGGTGACAAGAGGCAAAAATAACAATTTACCATAAGGTTCTTATGTTTGAGAACAAGTAAAAACCAAAAATACTTGTTTGTAGGAAAGTGCTAATTCTGAATCATTTCTACCTTCGCTTTCAAGTCTAACATCTCTAAAGAAGTTACTCCAGCTTATCTCTCCCAAGAAATACCATCCATTTTAGAGTCTTTACAATGAAGGTGGTATATTTTAGGATATCTAAAATGTTTGAAAATTTAGACACCATGTTAAGTTACATTATGATAATTATATTGTAATAGTCCAACATTGATAAAAATCTCTTGAATAATTGTCTTTAATCTTTTGGTTTAATTGACATTCCTTTCATTTGTGCTCATAAGTCTGTCTGTTAGTCATTAAAAATGTATTCTTTTAAATATTTGCACACCATAACACTGATAAGGGACTGCTTTCAAAGATCTACAAAGAGCTTACACAACTCAACAAAAAAAAACAACCCAACCCAGTCAAAAAGAATGCTAAAAAGACACTTCTCTAAACAAGAAATGCCAAGGGCCCAACAGGTACATAAAAAAAGTGTTCAACAGCACTTATCATCAGGGAAATGCCAATCAAAGCCACAATGAGGTACCACCTCACTCAGTAAGAATGGCCCAAATTAATAAAACTGGCAAAAACAAATGCTGGCGAAGAGGTGGAGAAAAAGGAACTCTCTTATAATGCTGGTCCAGCCACTGTGGAAAGCTATATGGAGGACCTCCAAAACACTAAAAATGGATCCACCATATGACCCAGTGATTCCACTCTTAGGAATTCACCCAAGGACACAAAAACACTGGTTCGGAAGGAAACCTGCACCTGTATGTTTATTACAGCAATATTTATAATAGCCAAGATATGGAAACAACTTGAGGGCCCCAAAACAGATCAAGAGGTGGGCTGTGTCTACAGTGGAATATTACTCAGCCATCAAAAAGATAAGCTCATGCCATTTGCAGCAACATGGAACTGGATGGGATTATGCTAATGAAGTCAGAGGGAAAAGATACATATCAGATGGTCACTTATATATGGGATATAGGCAAACAGAACAAAGGGTGAGGAAAAAGACAAAATTTGCAAGCTGATCATAGACATGAGGCACCCAGCAGGAGAGGGGAGAGAAGGGGTAGAAACAAGGGAAGAAGGCAAGGGATAATGGTGACAGTTCTGGGTGCTGTGGAGGTGGGAGAGGTACTACAGCTGAGGAGGAAAACCAAAGATCGTACAAAGTACAAACAGTAACGTAATCATTTTTCTCCTATGGTACCCCTCTTTTTGAATTTTGTATATGTTCTTTATACCTGGAGAATATATACTTTGGACTAGATGCTGCAAACCTTACTGCTATTTTTTACCAGCTGGCATTTGTGTCTTTGGTAAGTGGCAGGCTCTGTGGCTAATCAAACTTACTAGACTCATTTTGTCCCTTGAAGTCACACTCACCCTACCTTGAGATTTTGGATATACTCACTCTGTTCTCTCCTTGTGGCTTTGTTTTCACACCTGATGTTTCTCTCTGACCCATGTCTTCATCCTTTCTTCATTATAATCCTGGTGATCTGAGGCATCTGTTTCTCGGGTGTCTTATGCCCCCTTAGGAAACCCCATCTTGTTAGAACCTTCTAGCCTCAATGCGCACCATGTCAATTTTCTCAAGTGACACCTTTCTACTTGCACTAAGCTTTCCAAAGTGGTAGATTAGGGGATGGTGTGATTTGCTTTACAAAAGGCGCCCCTCCTGGAGCCTCCCTGGAGGCACAGGGGTTAAAGCGCAGCCCTATGAAGCCATCCATGGCAGCTTGAGTTCACTCCCCAGCAAGGGAGTGACCCACAGGGCGCAGCAGACCTCTCCTGTCTCACCCGCTGCTCCCCTCAGCAGTATATTTCAGTCAATCCACCAGCTGTTCCCAACTGTATCTCGGGTGAATCCTCTCACCCCCAACCCCGCACCTCTGGCCTGTACCCCAGTTCTTGCATAAATAAATAGATCTTAAAAACAAAAAAAGGTGCCCCTCCCAGCAGCAGCCCTCTGACCAGTTCACAAGCTAAGTAACAACAATCAACAACGGAAACTTCGTGACATCCAGCTCTCTGGCCCCACGCCCCACACTTGGGGTCTGCGTGTTCTGGAAACAGGTGTCAGTGTGGCTGGAGGTAAGAGGAAGGCTAATGACAGAGGGCTGGCGACTCTCAGAGATGGGCAGGAGCTCTGGGAGTGAGCAGAGACCAGACAGATGCGGGCAGATTGTGTGGACATGGGGTCCCTGTGTGAGTGGCTGGTGCCAGGACAGAGGCTGTGGACAGGGCCAGACCTGGACAGGTCATGCAGCCATTCCCTGCTGAACGAAAGAGGAACCTCAGAGCTGGCTCTTCATTCGGCCACCTGCGGCATCTGGGTTTCCCCCACTTCATTAGGAAGCCGCCTGGATGGTGGTTTAGGTAGAGAACTCTGCCCCGTCTCCACCCCTCGACGAGGGGCCCTGGGGGGCCTCTTTCTGCTGACCTGAAGCTTCAGACTCAGATGGAGCAGCAGCTTCAGAATATTTTATCCTGAAATGGGAATG